TTTTTGGCTGCCGGGTAGGCCCATATTATCCAGAGTTTTTATTACGATAGAACAAATATCTATTCCTTGCGTTTCCTTCACTCTCGACTGAAATATATGAAGGATCTAGGTACCGAAGGGTTGTCCAACAAACCATCCACGGGGGACGTTGAGTTTCAGTAGGCCTACCAGCAAAGATCCGGCATTTTTTGTACCGCGTCACTGTTGCGGTCAAAGGAGTTCATCCAAAAAAAGAAATTATTCGTTAAGAAAGAAAGAAAGAAAATCGAGCTCATGAGCTGTTGGTAATTAACGTTAGCTCCTGAGATCTGTGAATCCATGGAAAACCTGGATAAATTTAAGAGCGTCATACAATTTCGCACAACGCACAACTGTCAAAAGTAGTAGACAGAAGTCGGTGCTAATGAAATAATGCAAGATACGGGTACTGTATTTGCGCAACTTTTGACGAAGACACTGGTGAAAGGGATGAGGTTTTGCTTGGACCTTTAGGAAATTATGAGGACTTTGGCAAAGCGAAGAGCTGCTTCTTGTCCTGGACCTGGAAACACATGATTCTTATTTTGGTATGGCGTGGCTTGAACACCACAAGCTATAAATCGACTTAAAGTCCAAGACGTTGTGTGTCACACCTTTCTCTCCTGACAGAGCCTTTGCAATCCATAAACTCAACTTTTCAGATAGTAAAGGCACTTTTGGTGCGGACACAAGGCTACGATAGTTTCTGTGCATGACATAGGGTTGTCTAATTTGATACCTCTAAATGCCTAGAGCTGGAAGGCAAAAACGGCAGTGGGTTGTAATCTGTGGGTGAGGCAGAGAATCTGGTTGTATCTTACGATCTTCGAAGTGTACATCCGTTAGGTCAGGGTTGAGCATCTGTATGTCATATTTTTACTGGTGAGATGGTCCATCACAGCTGTAAGCTGGTCTAGAGCCGGTGAAGAGTAGAAGCGACTGAATGTTGCGGTCTCCTGGGCCAGACCTGGTGGTGACCACAAAGCGACTGCAATTTTTACTAGAATAACAAGGCTCTCAATAAAAAGCATGATACCAGAACGTCACGATGTGGCTAAGTCAGCACAACCATGTAACGCGTTCACGTTGAATCTTTAGTCCGGGATGGACTGACAGGTACTGCTAATCTATGTAGTACCCCCTACTACTTTCGGTAAAAATTTTCATTGAGGGTAAGGGAAGATATCCGGGTGGTGTTTTCAAAAACAGCGAGGTTTCCATAAATATACAGTTGTTTTTGGAGGATCATCATACATTATGTTTGAGCCAGTGATTGAATAAACTTGCAGACAACTGAGTGTGAGGAGTCTAACAAATAGTTCCAAATTTTCTATGGATCATTTTTGCACATCCTTGAAGGAATTCATGCCGTAGAGACAAAGATATCACGCGTGTTGCCCCATGAAACTGACTTGCACCCGGTACCTATTGTTGCGTCAGCCCATATCGACGGAATCGTGTTACGTCATTGAGCTTTTATTCGTGCAAAGCCAAGCGTGGGCTTGCTGTGGATGTGAAAATTCCCGCGTTTTGCCCATTTCTGTGACGAAAAGCTGATGCGGTTGCAATTTCGATGCAACGCCGATTTCTAGAAAGAATGTGCTGCAGAAGAGCAAGACCAGCTGTACTTCGTTCAGTTTCTCGACCTAGTTGACAAATACCACTCGCTGTTGATTAAAAACCGCGGTAACTGGCCCCAGTACAGTGCAGTTTAAGGCTACATGGCACAATATCTCGTTTATTTTTTCTTAAAATGATGCCATATAGTGGTGGAGCGTGACAGAAGGGGTGACCTTCATGGCCAAACAAGTCTCATGCGCTTCCGAATCCGGCTTTTTTGAATTCGGATCGTCAAACTCATATCACCGATGACGCTTCGGCATTTGTCATAGGCTTTGGCATGAACGCATATTCGCGTTTGACCATTGTGGTCTTAAAGCATTGGAGAAAAACCACCCTGTTTATGACAAGGAGCTACTTGCGACGAAGTATATCCTTGTCCAATTCAGGGTGTATATGCTTACCTCTCAGCCGCTTGCGATGCGCACAAATCATCACCATATTTCTCGCAAAGGGTAGCAAGATGATAATTCTTTTTCGCCTAAAATACCTCAAAGGTAATGCGTTAGCTGGTGTTAAGCTATCGGAATGGTGCTGTAGTCGAAATGATAAAACGATTGTGAGTCATATTCGCAAAGTTTGGAGTTGTGGCTGTAAGGCATCGTCCATTAGCCGTTACTTTTCTACATTACGTACCTGGCTAGTCACTACACTTTATCATTTGCAATGAAAAATTGATTGCGTAGTATCCATTTGCCTTTCTGACAAATAACGTTGGCGCCACGTTGGGAAATTTACTCTCTTACCAATCTCGCTTCGTGCTTTACACAAATTTAGATTTCGACGATGTCGCACTGTCGTGTGATGTAATATCTGGGTTTTGGGACCAAGTCAGGTGTAGGGTGAACTCGCTATCCAAATAAATCGTGTGGTTGATCTTTTATCGTCACGTCATGTTGACCCTTCAGCGAAGGTTAAAAACATCAGTAGGATCCTTGAGGATGGCTGTCCCACTCTATGCGCTCAGCTCACTGTTAGTGCCCAAATGACTGCTTCATTTACCACGGATAACGAGTTCAGCTTTTTTGATACCAGGGGACCTCATATATACGGAGGAATAATTGTGATAGCTATAAGAGTATATGACAAGAGATTTCTGGCGATCTCTCGCCATTTCCCGGCTAATTACACGGTGGTGTTGACTCAGCAGTGCCGTCACCCGGTGACAACCCATCTACAGGGCTTAGTGTTTATCTAACGACTTGCTGTCGCTTTTCGACTCCAATGGCTCAAACTGGCACAGGAAACTGTAGCACGCAGTGATGTTTACCTGTTCGGGCACAGGAGTCGACAGCTAAATACTGAGTTTTACCTCCCCACAAGAGACACACTCCGGGGACCACGACACACGGTTAGCCATCCATTCGCATCTCAACACTCTGGAGACCCCAATGCAAAATTGCCAATTTCCAACTCATCTTGAGAACTTAAATTTGTGCAGCTTTTTCGGAGAACCTAGGACTAAACTTGATTTCGATTTCGAACAACACCATGTCATTCACTGAAGCTGTCGTAGCTTCAGGCTCGCGCCAAATAAATGTGTGTCCTTATGGTCATGACCCAACAATGCTTCACCACGAGAAAAGTGGGTGGCATTAAAGTTTTCTGTCGTCCCGTGGCTCGTGGCGTTTCTACCACTCCGTGCCCGGATGGGATCGTACCAGGGTTTTAGTTCCTGAATCAGACATAGTCTCAAACTTTACACGAGATTTCGACAGAATCTTTGACAGTTTTACCAGTGTTCTTGCAGCAAAACGCACGAATATCGTATCCGTTTATGATCTCCGCGAGCTGTATCCTGTTTTTAACACTCGTGCGCCTGCATACTTAGAGGATGCTCCTGATACTAACAGGACATCTCACGGCTTCACAAAGACCAGAACATTCATTGTAACAACCAGAATCTTGGACTATGAGCCTCTGTGAAAGACAGTCACTTTATAGGGTTGGGTACGACCTCCAAAAGGCCCAATAAAATTCAGTTCTCCAGTAGGCATAGTGCAATTAGAGGTGTTTTTTTCAAGAGGGATTCGTCAAACACCCTAGTGTGGAGTGTAGCAATTCTTCGAACCTCTCATCTGAAAGCAGGGGCGCCACGCAAGGTGCAGATGATTTAGGCAGCCACAAAGCTGCTTAGTAGCTAATTGATTTTTCTCTTCTCTCTCAGCATGACAGAGGCCTACTGCCTCTGGCACACTCATAGAGCTTACATTTTTGGCATCCAAAACGTACGTTGTCGTACGTAAGGCGTACTCCACGTTAATTGCAGCGCCGACCACTCTTTCGAGAAGGTAGGGAAAACACGAAAGGTCATAGTCAGAGCTGCACTTTTTCGAAGACCCTCCATGAAGACGGTAACCGCTCTCGCCTCCGAGTGAGGAGCCGACGGCGTTGCGTCGAAGATATTTTTTAACTTTTACGCATAGCTCATTAGCTCTCGTCTTTATTAGCGGGCTGCAATACATGGCAATATTTGTCGATTCAATGTTTCGCTTTGGAAATAGCTCCCCGTTCAGAGCAAAACCAAATTCATGCCCATTTTAAGCTTTCGCGTCCAGCGGGAAGTATTTTTCCGTTTCGGTCTCTTAAAGGCCTGAAAGATCTACACCAGCTGTCTCGTAGTGGATACCTAATATACCAACTGGGTGCCCCTCGACTTGCCTCATCAGTGCATTCTCAAAGATGAGCACCTCCTGGCTTGCGATTACTGCTTTTGTCCCCTTGGTCGCCGATTACTTGATCCCATCGGTACTAAGGAGGACAAAATTATGTAATGCTACTTATTTGCTCTAAGGACAAGTATTAAGCACTTCATGCTCCATCCTCGACGAGCATACAATCTTTTCTCGGATCGGTCGCGGAGTTAACTACAAGTGTGAACGAGCGCAACGTGATTGCCGCGATCTTTTCACGGACAAAGCTTATACTCCTAATCCGCATTAACAAACGCAAAGAGCTTAATTCGTGCGCTCCTATTAGAAACTGAGCCAAGAGCTTCTATTGTAACTATTGCTCTGCTGTTTTAAGACTACATATATTCGGGTTAGTTCTATATCGACGAATACTAAATATAAACGTTTTACGATAGTATATATTGAAGGTGCAGCGCGGTTGCCGTAGCCCTTTGCTTAAAGGAAGCTTGCTATGGTCACCGACCTTACGATCTATACCAGAACCAGTACGAGCGCTACCTCCTAGAGTACTTAAGAACCTTGACCAAGGCAAAGACACTCAATTGAAACTGTATTCAATTGTTCTATTTGCGGCAGAGCCGCCTATATCTGGAACCTTAGGTTTGAATAGTAAAATTAACAGGGGTTAAA